CTATGACCTTTCTGTCCATGGATTGCTTTATCAGCTTTGTTTAAATCTCAAATTCCGGGTGGGTGTTATTTGATGCAGCTGTTTCTTCCATCTGTTCTGTGAGAAGGTGCAGGACCCCTCCGTGTATTTGTCTCCATCTTGTCTCCCCTGGACAATCTTTCTAGGAGCCCTCAGCCAGGAAGGCTGGAGTCTCAATGTTTGTGGGCTCCCAGCTGAGGCAGCTGGTCCCTGGGCGCTGTGGTTGTAGGGTTCCAGGAGGTATCTGAAGTCTCCCTGGTTGAAGGTAAGGCTGAGCTTCTGGTCACAGCTGCTCTTTTCTTCAAGATGGTGTAGTCTCTGCTGCAGAGCCTACTGCTCTGGTGCGATTTCAGTAGCAGTAGAGACTGCCCAGCAAGGAGAGGCTGGTCCACCAAACACCACAGTCATGTGGAATGTAGCATTCCCTCACTCACACATACAGACACTCCCCTCATGCCTATGCACTCTCCTTTCGCTCTCTCACTCACACACTATCTTGCAGCCATCGCTGACATCTTAGATCTCAAAGATGTCTATGTTTTTAAAATGAATAAACTCTCACATGGCCCTGACATCGTGTCAGGGACTTTAGAGCAATAATTGAATGATGTGCCATTTAGGACACTGAAAACAGATAGGCTAAGTCAGTGGTTGGCAAACTGCGGCTCGTGAGCCACATGAGGCTCTTTGGCTCTTGAGTGTGGCTAATTAAGGTACTCTTAAGTTAATAGCAACGTAAGTATTTATATAGTTTAAGATTAAAAAATTTGGCTCTCAAAAGAAATTTCAGTCATTGTACTGCTGATATTTGGATCTGTTGACTAATGAGTTTGCCAAGCACTGGGCTAAGTCATTGGCTCAAGGTCACAGAGCTGCTCAGGCAGAAGACCCAGAGTGTGACCCCATGACCTCCAGCCCCAAAGGTCACCTTCTAAGTCAGCAGATTAAGCCACTGATGAGATGCTGATAAATGGGGGAGTGGTGGAGAGGAGATGCCAGTGACTGTGTGTTCATTATATTTGAGCTATCCCCATGTGAGAGCCAGACATTAGGACACTGGTCTATGTGACGGGCAGAGTTATAGGCAAGTTGGGAAGATAAATGTTCCTGCCCCTCTTGAGAGAACCCGTGCCCCTTCGGGCAAGCAGCTGAGCTTTCCCTTCGCAGGCCCATTCTTCTCCAGTGCGAAACACTGGCAGGTGGCCATGGGGATGACCCTTCTGGCTCTGCTGGGGCTCCTTCTGGGGGTGGTGATCTCATGGTGGAGAAAACAGAAGAGAATCCAGGCCTTGAACCAAGAGAAGGAGAGGGAGCGAGCTGAGAGAGAATCGGCAGAGGAAAAGGAGCAGCAAGAGCGAAGCACCAAGGGTGAGATCTGGCTGCAGGTGGGTGGGACTTCCTCGCTGAAAGTCACCCATCCATACTCAGGTCCCCTTTCCATCCCCATGACAGCCCTTCTCTTTCTTTCTGCTTATTTCCAGAGAGGATACAGAACGAGCTCAGTAAGTCCCGATCCCCCACCACACAAATTCTGGGGTCCCTGGTTACCAGTCTCACCGAACCCTCCCTTTTCCTCTGCAGGATTGAGGGAGAAGCAGTACCTGGCATGTGAGTACCGGGACCCACATCTGAGACTCTCTGCTGGGACTGTCAAGCCCCTTCCTCACCCCAGACTGCATTGGGGAAGGAATGAGGATGCTAATAGGGGAGGTCGGGCAGAGTTTCCTCCCTGGAGAAAGGGGTCAGGCTTTTTCCACCAGGCCCCCCACACCCGGATGTGCAGGGAGTCCCAGAAAGGAGAGGGAGTGATGGACTCAGGATGTCAGGTCCTCCCTCCCTGGCTTCTCTGCAGGATCTATAGGCTGCTGAGAGGAAACCAGAAGGAGAGAGAACATTCTCTTCAAGAGGAGGAGCTGCTGTCAGTTATCTCAGATTTATCATAACTGCTGAAAAGCAGTGTCTGAAATTCTCTCACTAAGTCTCCCAATTATTTTGGGGAATTGACAGGAAATCATGCAGATTGAAGTGGATGGATTTCAGCACACATATACATACACGTATGCACATGGCAAGCCCAGCCAGGTACAGGAGTAAGATAGTCACCTCATATTGCAGGGGTTCCTGGCCCACGGATAGCACTGCACCCTGTGTATAGTAGGATTCTCATTCTCCCTTAAAGGAAGGCTTCTCGTTGCCACACCCCAATGGCCAGCGTCACAGCAATTGATGGTCATTACTAAGGAACAGAAGGGGACTTTCACACAAGCCCTGTGTAGCTGAGGGAGATCTGACCATAGAGCTGGCTCCTCAGTGACTAAGTGGCTCATGGGAGGAACACAGGGTGGACATGCTGGGCACAGGTATGGTTCTCAGGTGGGCATATCAGAGACGGATGGCACAGGATGTCATCACGCTACTTGGAATGATGTGCAATTTAAAATATGAATTGCTTATTTCTGGAATTTTCCATTTAATATTTTTCTACTGTGGTTGACAGAGGGTAACTGCAACTTCAGGAAGGGAAGCAATGGTTAAAGGTGACTGCTGTTCAGACCCGTACAGGACAGACCTGCAGGTGCAGCTGGGACAGCCCCATTGGTGCCTGCGGGTCATAGGGTGCAGGTGACCTTAAAGAAGAGTGGAGCAGGGAACTGAACAGGCAGAGGGAGGGAGGAGGGGTCAGCAGGAGAGAGAGGAGAAGACTCAGACATGACAGGTGAGGTGACTGCCTGTCTTCCTTTGCAGGTGACAGGGCTCACGCCTATGCAGGTGAGTGACTTGTGCTCTTTGGTTCCTAGTACCTGTGTACAAAGCCCTTCAACCCTTCCTGTGCTGCTGAGGGATCATCAGAGCCTGCTCAGAGCTCATGTTCGGGGGAGGACCACCCTACCTTTCTCCACACCCAGAGGACCTTCCAGCTACAGCGTCCCCTCACCTGCTGACACACGCCCACATCTGGCAAAGCCTGGCCTGTCACCCACAGCCCCACTGTGATGGAGGGAAACCCACATTCTGAGAGCTTTTATGCCTCCTCCTCAGAGCTGTGGTAGAAGGAAACTAGATATTGGTGGGAAGGAGAGGGAAGAGGCTCAGTGTGGAGAATGGTGGTGGAAGAAGAGAAATGATGGCCTTTTCTTGCCTGTGTCTCCTTCTTTTCAGAGTGGAAGATGGGCCTTTACCGATCTGGTGAGTGAATGATTGTGTGTTCCCTGAGACAACACACAGGGGCCTGGCTTCCTTTTTCTTCTCCAGCTCTTCACTGGGGGACATCGCAGTGGGTGGCATGAGGTCCCTACAGTGTGCCCATGTGCCTCCCAGAGAGCCAGGGTCAGCTGCTACCCTGAGCTTCCCCAGGTCTGTGTGAGATTGAGCTAGGGGCAAGGGCTGGAGGGAGATGGAGAAGGTGACCTGGCCCATCTGATGCCCCTGCTGCCCTGAGCCTCCTCAAGGTGTGCCATGTCTCTGATTTTCATTTGAGATGATGGTGGTCATTCCTACTTTGTGACGGTGGAGGTAAGACTAGACAAGGTGATGAGTGTGTGTTGGTCAAAAGTCTAAGAGGGAAACCATGGCCTGTTCATAATGGGTATGTGTCTGACAGTATGACCACAGTCAGGAGAACATTGTTAAGAACTAAAACGAATGTAGGTGACTTCTTATATTATAACAGACTGTGTTATAGAGTCATTTACACATGAGTGTGTGGGTGTGAATTGGACAGAATACATGTCAGTCTGCGCAGACTTTCACCACTAACGGACCTGTTACAGTACGCTGTTTCACAGTACAACTCAGGTACTAAAGATTGACAGGACAAAGGGACAAGGAGTGTGGCAGCACCAGCCATCCCTCCTGTGGTCTTGTGGTGGGTGGTTCTTTATAAGGGATACCATCACATTTGGTGTTGACCTCCGTGGTCATGTCATTGTAGTGTTACTAACAAAACTGTTTATGGCTGCATTTTATGGAACACACATCATCATCACCCTGAAGGCTTTGGTGTGCCTGCTGAGGACAGTGAGGTTGGTCAAAGGTTACAGCATGAAAAGATGAAGGAAGTTTCAGACACAGAGATGGAGTTGGGTTGATTCAGCCTCATCTACTCAGTGATTACACAGGGTCCAGGGAAGGGCCTACTTCCAGAGGCTGTGGTGGCATTAAGGGAAACCACAAGGATGAGCAGTGCCCCAGGCTCACAACAGTGGGAGCTGTCTCCACCCCCAGGCCCAAGGCAGAGGGATGGGGAGCAGTCACTGGAGCCTGAGGAGGCTGGGGCTCAGGGAGAGGCTGCCAGAGAGGAGGTGTGCTCTGTTGGAGCATCTCCATCACAGGAAGTGGGAAGTCAGGGCTGTGCCTCTTTTTCCCTCCCTCCAGTCCTCAGCCAGGACCTGCCCTTGGCCAAAGCCAACAGGTGACAAGAGGCAGTGAGCCCAGTGATGATGCCCAAGGAGGACAGATTCCTGGGCAAAGAGGTGGGGCAGGTGGGGAGTGAAGGTCACAGCCCAGCATGGCCCCAGCACAGCAGAGACCTGGTCACTATGATCACACCACATGCTTCCTTGACGCCTGGCCTTGGGCTAAGTGTACCTCACATTCTGTGTTGTTCCACCCTAAAGATTAGTCCTTTTATTTCCATTTTACAGACATCACATTGAGACTTGTGACATTACATAGTGTGTGTGTGTGTGTGTGTGTGTGTGTGTGTGAAAAGACATCATGCATAAAAGGAAGTCGTCCAGCTCAGGAGGGCAGAGCAGGGGCTGGAATTGGAATCCATGTGATTGTGCAGCACAGGTGGGCTTTGTCCTTCTGGGGAGGAAACAGGAGGAAGATAGAAGGAAGGGGCCACTTGAGATGGTGGGTTAGACAGACCCCAGCCCTCCTCACCGTCCCCTCTTCACTGAACACCAGGCCCTGTGGTTTCTCTTGGCTTTGCTGAAGGTCACACTCAGGACAGCAGGGACCCCAGGCTGTGGGCTTCGGTCTCACCAACAAGACCCAAGCCTTGTAGCCTGAGGCTCTCAGGTCCGATAAACATGGCTGACTCCTCACCATTGAAACTCTCTGCAGCGGACGTGACTCTGGATCCGGACACTGCGCACCCTTCCCTCATCATTTCTGAGGACCAGCGGAGTCTGCAGTACACAAGTACAGTTCAGAACCTGTCAGACAACCCGAGGAGATTTCAGCATTGGTCCTGTGTGCTGGGTCGTGAGAGATTCACGTCAGGCAGACACTTCTGGGAGGTGGAGGTGGGGGGCAGGAAACAGTGGAATTTAGGAGTGAGTCAGGATAACGTGGAGAGAAAAACAGATGTTAAAATAACACCCCAGCATGGATTCTGGACAATATCTCTGTTGGGTGGGCATGACATCCAGGTTGAAACAGATCCCGAGAGCAAACTCACAATTGCCAACCCTCCTCAAAGAGTGGGGGTTTTCCTGGACTATGAGAGGGGGGAGGTCTCCTTCTATGATGCCATCGATGGAGTCCACATCTACACCTTCCCGCAGGCTTCTTTCACTGAGCCTCTCTTGCCTTTCTTCAGGGTTTTCTCAAAAGAGTCCACTGCCTTGACGATTTGCCCAGCACTGAAAGGAGTGCGGAGTTCCCCTATGTCTGACCCACTGCCTGGCCCTTTCCTGGAGACCCGAGTGGCCTCAGGCTCAGCTGATGGCAATGAGGGCCCTCAGTCAGAACAAAGGTCTTTGTTTCTCCCTGCCCAGCACTGAGTTGAGGGGCTGCTTAGCAGCAAAACCTCACAGCAGGAACATACTTACTAAAAACTCACTGAGTGAAGCACTTTACTACTTATCTTTCAACTTTTCCACATGACACATGAGGAGATCAGGGTTCAGGAAGTTAATTAACTTTTCAAAGTGACTCAGCTCCCTTCCTGCCACCATAGCTCACACTCACAGATACCTTAGAATGTGTGGGTGCTGGGCTAAAGGCTTCAGGTAACTTTCACTCACCAATCCCCCCAGCACCCCTGTGAGGTGGCCTCATTGAACGTGTGGAAAGGGAGGCAGGGCCCAGGGAAGTGACATGGAATTCATGCAGGAAGCAGTGCTGCTGGGAGCTGTTTGACCTCTGCCCCTCCTCCACCTCCAGTCTGTTCCTTTGCAGTCAGTTATTCCTGTTGGGCAGGGTCATAGGCAGCCTGAGGTTCCCTTTCCAGGGCCCCAGGGTGAAGGTCACTGTAGGTGACTGTGAAAGCCACACCCACCTTGATCCTTCAAGGGGGACTGTCGGAGCCATGGCCCACTGCTCCATTAACTGGCTGGCCATGATGACGTCGTCCAAAGAAGGAATTCGCAGTGACCACACCACATGGGGCTGAGAAGGACCAGAGGCCACACTCCTCACCAGCTTGTGACCTGTGACCTGAAGCCCAACCAACCCCCCAGCTTCATCCCTGAAGCTCATGTGTGAGGCATGAATTGGGGGAGGAGCCAGGTGCACTGCAGTGGTCTTTTTCTCACACTGTAGCCCCATCTCCAGGAAAGGGACACTCCACACTGAGCCTTCACTGATGTTCCCACAGGTTTTTTAACTGTTGGGTCCTGGGGAAGAGCCACTCCATCACCATCACTGTGATTGGTCACCACTGTGTCCCCTCCACCCGGCAGGTGGTTGTCAGGTTGCATTTGTTAAATAAATTGGTGAATAATCTTCTCTATGCAAATGAGCTTCTTCTAGATGTTCACCCCCAGAGTTTACCCATCACATTTTCACAAGATCCTTATTGTATTAGCTGTGTATGCTGCTGTAATAAAAACCACAAACTTCATGGCCCAATGCAGGACAGATTCCTTTCTTCACATTTCTGTAGGTGAAAAGCCCAGTGTGGCCATGGCCGGGCTGACATCCAGGTGTCTGCAGGCCAGGCTCCTTTCTGGAGGGTCTAGGGAGCAGTCTGATTCTTGCTCATTCTGGATGTTGGCAGAATTGAGTTCCCTGCAGTGGTGGGACCGAATGTGCCATTCCTCGCTGGGGGTCAGAAGAAGCTGGAAACCCTCCAGGCTGGGAGCATCCGGAGTTGTTGTCCCAGGAGGCCAATGTGAGGGACAAGTCAGGTGAAGGGTATGGTCTGGGGAACAAAGGCCAGTCCTGGAATAACTGCTAGTGGCACTGATGTTCTGTGTTGACTGCAGAGTCGAACTTAGAAGATCGCATGTTGTAATGTACCCCATGAGTAATACACAGGATGCGGAACCAAATCAATGAAGCATTTAATCAGTAAAGCCAACGACTGTGAGGGAGATGCGGCTCCAAATCTCGCAGCTCGGAATGGCAGAAACATCAGGCTTGAAAGGCAAATATCACAAATGTATCAATTACACCTTTAGGTCTGGAATGATAACCTGGTTGGCAAACATCAGTTACAGAAGCTAAATTGAGCAAGTTAGTTATCTACAAAGATTAGTTATAATTTTAGTTCTTGGAGTCACAGAATCAATGGAAAACATTCCTGAGCCACTGAGTCAAGGAAAGCAATTTCTGGTTCTGGTCCTCAGGCACAGGAGAATAAACTTAGTGATGTGAGTAAGCAACATTCTGGGGTGATTTATGTGAGTTTCCAGGTCTCAGTCTGGAACTGAGGTTACTACCCTATTGTTTTAAGCAAGCAAGTGTGTACAGAAGCCAGAATGGCAGGGTTAGAGTTTAAATAGCATTTTTTTTACCCGAGATGAATGCTACTGGGCTTTAGTGGAGGCTTCCAGAGAAAGCATTTAGGCACAGGTGGGAAATGCTGTGAAATGTACCTTGGGAAGGTTATTCTAGAAGAAATGTACATGATGGCCTAATTGGGGTCGGTGGGGCCCAGGAAGGGAGCATTGGGTGGGTGTGGGGGTTCTGGGCCCACCAGAGCATCACCTGGCAGGCAGAGCATTTGCTGGCTGCCATGGTCCTATTCTCCTCCTGTGAGATAGGGCTTTGCCCTGCCACTCAGTCTCCTAAGGACTCTGAGTGTTTTCTGAATGACTCACAAGTATCCATAACAACTGCTTTAACCCCGGCCCCTCCTGGTGTCCCCCAATATCTTCCCTGTCCCCCTACCCACCCAAGTCTAGCAACTTGAATAAAATTCTTTGGCTTTAGGAAGTGGATACTAAAATTCACCTCAACACATGCCTACCCCAACCCAAATCACAAACACACACCCATGACCAATTCCTCTAAAAACAGCAAAAGGCCAGATAATCTCACAAGGCTATTAACAGTGCATTTTTCATGCTGAAGCAATTTACTTGTATTCTACCTAGAAATTCGTCAGGATTAGACTTGGCCTAGGGATCTAGAAATGTTTTCTCTGTCAAGGCTAAGTGTTAATATTTTTGTCTTCTGCACAGCCCCTGTTGTAGCACAATCTTAGGTGGAAGTGTTGGCTGCTTCTAGTAAACGCTCATGTATGGGCTGACATTTGAATTTCATAGAATTAGGCCATGTTGCCCAATAAGTTTTAGTTTCTCTATGTTTTTAGAACAGAAAGACCACTAGGAGGAGGGCTGCAGACTGCCCTTGACTCCTAAACTGGGGACTTTGTTGTTAACTGAGAAATCTCTATTGTTTAAGCCAATAACACAATCTGTAAGGACCCCCCCACGGTGGTGGTTGGGTAGCTGAGGCCTTCAGAGCCTCAAGCACATTCTCCCCCACCTACCACCCTCATCAATGTCAGTCCTCTCTCTATCCCTCATGCCTGTGTAGTTAAAATAGAAAGTGAAACAGCTCAGAGATGAGGCTTTTCAGGGTGATGAAATCACAGCCGAGTTAAATCTAGAGAGGCCCTTCTCCCCGACCACCCAATGGGATTCCGTCATCTGTTGCATTTAGCAACAACTCGGGGCTGATCCAGCCTCTTCTTCATGGGAAATGGGAGGAAAACTCGCTTCTCAGGGAGAACCACGTGGGAATGAAGGTGGAGACAGGGCTATGATCCCTCCACCAGGAAATTCAAAGACCGCCAGGAACCCCTGATGCTAGGGCACAAGTCGGACCACCCTGTGGGGATCCGAAGCCCAGGCTAGAACAGAGAAACAATTACCGGTATTTGTTTTTGAAGCTGCTCCATTGGTGGCCCTTTGTGCAGCCAGAAAGACCTAGGGAACCTACGTGCAGCTGTACAGTGGCTACCATGGTGTGAGGTGTGGAGTGATCCATACAGAGATGGGGACAGAGGGGAAAGAAATCTTAGCCCGTGTATTTAGCCTTCTGCATCAGAAAACTCTCTGGGCTGCCTCCTTCCCAATGAAAGGTTCTTAAACATTTACAAGAAGAGAAGTAAGTTGTTCTCTTTCAAAATTATTTAACAACCATGTCAAAAACTATAACAAGAAGATAAATGTTTGAGAGTCTAAGTCCTGTCTTCGGGCAACAAAAGCAGAGCCCATGGGACGTGGGGACTAATGTTGAAGCCATAAGACAATCGTCATGGAGCAGTTCAATGGTTGCAGGTCCTGGGCCACTGAAGGTGTATGAAATCAATTTATTACGTAGATACCAAACTTAAATACACACGAATGGAACTATGAGAGCATACAGTATATATAAATGTGTGTGTCCTCAGTTACTTTATAAAAGGTATTTATTTCTGTGGACCATAGTTTTAAAATAAAAAACAAAGAAGGTTTTAGATTAAAGATGTGGTAACTTGGCTGGAGGACTTGGTGGAGGGAGAGGTGGGCTCCTTTTCCAGGAGGACGGGGTGCAGTGATGTGCTGTGGCCACTAGGGGTGGAAGAGGTCTAAAGATTATCTACTGAGAGGTTAGAGGGAGAGGGGGTAGGTGGAGGTGGGAAGGGGGCAGGAACCAGAAAAGGGGAGAGAGATACTGGGATGGAGGTGAAGGAAAAGGCGGGGGGAGGGTGAAGGAGAGAAGATGAAGAACATGACCTGAAGCTCCTGGTCCCAGAATGAAGAGACCCATGGAACTGACAGGAACCCAACCTGGAGCCTTGAGTCCAACCCAGTTAACCAGGCCCAGGGAAGCCCACCTGGACCAGCTGCACCCTGTCCACCTGCAGAACCACGAAGGAGAGGATAAATGTAGATATTATCTCCTGAGACTATCGGTGTTTGTTTTGAGGCATGATTGCTGTTTTGAGGCATGATTGAAGTAGAACCCTGTGTAATACACATACACCTGTTGCCCTCATAACAAGCTACTCATTCATATTAATAACAGGAAAGGAGCAAAGGGGAGGCCAGACAGAATAAGCAAGGTCATCTGGGCAGCCTCACCAGGAAGCTGCCACTTGACACTCCCCAGGGACCAGTCTATTCCCTGGCAATCACTGGGGGAGGGCTCCACAGAAGATGGGCACATGTGCAGTGAAGACATGGTGATGGAGGAAAGGGGCTTGCCTGTCAGTCTAACCTGGGAACAGACATCATTGGCTAAAAAGATGCACCTCAATGCAAGCCCATCAACATTTGGGAATACATAATCACCAGAATTCTCTCTCTCTGGTTGCTCCTGCTCGCTCTCCTGTTTCTTCCTTGCTAGTGACCCCTGCTAGGCTGCTGTGTGATCCTCGAAGCTGAAGGGAGCATGGCCATGTAGACCCACACGCTATGGACTGCAGCTGGGAGCACAAGCTCACCAGCCAGATGCTGGACTGGGCGGGACTGAGCCAATATGGAGCAAGATCTCTGGGAATGGTTGAATCCTGGTTCTGCTGAGGATAAAATGGATCTTTTCATGCAGGACAGAAAGAGATGGGCCCTTGGAAACTCAGCAGTTTAATTCCACAGAAATAAAGCTTTCTGCAGGGTCTCGTCCTCCTGTGGGGCCTCAGGAAATGTTTATTCCCCTGTCACCCCAAGAAATCTATTCCAATAAGCAACAGGTGGAGACACCAATCACACACCCAGAGCAAAGTTAAGGTTATTATCATTATATTTTATAACAAGTGCTTTCCAAGAGGGACTTTGCACTTTTGCTCCTCCTGAGCAAGCGTTCTTTCCCCTGCCTTTCCTCCAGATCAGAGACTCACCTGCAGTGAAGACCTAAGGAGTGCCTCTGTTCTGTGGTTTTCAGCTGAAAGTGCCAACTGTAAGTGGGGGAGTGGGTAAAAGCCAGTCCCAGATCTCTTTCGGAGAGAGGCTGATGATCTGGGTGAGCCTTCAGGTGAGGACACAGTGAGATCTTGTTGGCAGGGCAAGGTAAGGCCTGAACTCAGTAATTGGTCGGAGGGAGACAACCAAAATGAGTGAGCTTGACACCTGCACGTTCCTAAGAACTTCCTGTGGTCATTGAGGCCTCTGACAGGCTCTCCTGCTCCTCTGTGGGAGTGTGTTCTAAGAGATTCTAAAAGAGAGGTGGGTACTGAGCCCAGGTTCAACTGCCTGCCACTGGAAAGACCACATGGGGATCCTGGGACTGGTGGGAGGAATGTAGGCTTATTCTAGAGCCTGCAGCTTCAGAAGATGGGAGACTAAGCTTCAAAGACAATTGGACATGAGCAGGGGTTTAGTAAGGAAGATGAGAGGGGTAAGAATAATAAAGGAATAAAAAGGGGTGTGGTTGAGAGTTCTCCATTGAGGGTATGAAGTGCAAGCCAACACAGTCTGTTCAGATCAGTGCTTCAAGGTCAGGAAATCTCCCAGAGATGGAATGCCTGAAGGTTGGAGTCTGCTTTTCCTGAAGTTCCTAGAATTCTTAAGTAAACAGGCTGTTTATATGCACTCACATTTACAGAAATAATGTTAAAATAATGGTGGGGTAGGTTACAAGATGTGCAGCTTAAAGATTTATATGAAAATGTGTTTATTACAGAATTATATGTAATCTAGTATAATAAATGTGTAGTATGCTAATTAGACCTGACAGCCAAAGGACCTTCCACAGGACCTTCCTGACAAAGCCGGGGCTGTGAGGCCAGAGGGCTGAGGCAGCTGCTCCGCTGTGAGTTCTAAACCCCTTGCACGAATTTCGTGCACTGGATCGCTAGTATAAGTTATAATAAAAGGCCAGCAACCATAATGGCATAACAACCAGAAGGACCAGTTGCTATGGGGTGTATGACCACCTCTTGGTCCCTCCTCACAGCCCGCAGGTTTTGATCACTGGATGGCCAATAGAGAACCACAGGGCACCAGGGAGGGCAGTAGTGGGGACTGCCAAGTGGGCGGAATGATTGATCTCCTGGTCCTTCTCCTGGCCTGAAGGCTCTGATAGATGGCCAGATGGTGAATAAGGAACCAGGGTGGGTGTTGGCAGCAGTATGGGATTGGGGACTGGCAAACACATGAAAGATGGCCCTGATCTCAGGCTAGGTCTAGGGACTCTACCCGCACAGGATATCATGTGTGGGGCCTCTAGTTGTAATATTAAAATATGTGAGACAGCATACATGTACAACAGTTGAAGAATGGATAAACAACACATCGTCTGACAGCAGAGGGGTTTCCAATCCATATGTCTGTTGGCCATCTGTGCCTCCTCTTTATATAAATTTCTATTCAAGTCCTCTGCCCCTTTTTTGGGTATTGTTTGGGGTTTTTTTTTTGCTGTTAAATTGTATGATTTTTTTTAAAAAAAATAAATTTTGGATATTAACTCTGTATTGGATGTGTCATTGGCTAATATAGTCTTCCCTTCAGTAGGCTGTCTTTTTGTGTCATATGGTCCCATTTGTTTATTTATTTTCTTGCCCTTGTCTGAGGACACACATAGAAAAAACATATTACTGGCTATGGCCATACCACCCTGAACGCGCCCAATCTCGTCTGATCTCGGAAGCTAAGCAGGGTCGGGCCTGGTTAGTACTTGGATGGGAGAAAAAACATATTACTAAGAGGAATGTCATATGTTCATTTCCTCTGTTTTCTTCTAGTTTTATAGTTTTGGGTCTCACATTTAAACTTTAATTCATATTGTGTCTATTCTTATATTCATATATAAGAATAGACACAATATGGGGATAGTTATTGTCTTTATTCTTATGAATATAAGAATAGACACTTTCTTTGTAAGAAAGTGACCCAATTACTTTTTTTTTTTTTTTTTTGCATGCATCTGTCCAGTTTTACCAGCACCATTTTGAAAAGACTGTCTTTACTCCACTGCATATTCTTGCCTCCTTTGTCACAGATTAGTTGACCATGTAAGTGAGGGTTCTTTTCTGGGCTCGCTGCCTGTCCCACTGAACTGGGTGTCTGCTTATATGCCAGCACCATGGTATTTTTATTAATGTAGACACTGTTGTATAGTTTGATATCAGGAGTCGGATGCCTCCGACTTTATTCTTTCTCAGGATTTCTTTGGATATTAGGGGTTTTTGTGGTTCCATTTAAGTTTAGGATGAGTTGTTCTATTTCTGAGAAGAAGTTCATTGGTGTTTTAATAGGGATTGCACTGAATGTGGATATTGCTTTAGGCAGTAAGGACATTTGAACAAAATTAATCCTTCCAACCCATGAGCATGGTATATCCTATCATTCCACTTATTTGTATCCCCTTCGGTTTCTTTCTTCAGTGCCTTATAGTTTTCAGTCTATAAATCTTTCATTTCTGTGGTTAAATTTCTTCCTGGATATTTTATGCTTTGTGGGTAAACTTCTAAATGAGATTTTTAAATTTTCTCCTTCAGATTATTCATTATTGCTATATAGAAATGCAATCAGGTTTCTGATTTTCTACCTGCAACTGAACACATTGATTGGTTCTGATGTGTGTGTTTTTGGTTTTTTTTTGAAACCTAAGATTTTTCTATGTATTGATTTATCACATCCTTTGCAAATAGTAAGAGTTTTACTTCTTCTTTTCTGTTTTGTATACTTTCTATTTCTTTGTCTTGTCTGATGGCTGTGGCCAGGACTTCCAATACTATGGGAGCACAAGTGGTGAGAATGGGCATCCATGTCTTATTCCTGATCTTAGTTGTTAGAGAATAACTTTTCAGCTTTTCACCATGGAGTATTATCATAGCTGTAAAAAAAAATTATTACTACAAATTTGGGCCTAATTTGCAATTTAAATTGTTTCAATATTTTGGTATTGCAGATTTTATTATGATCAGTGGTCAGCAAACTGTGGCTCACAAGCCACATGCAGCTCTTTGGCCCCTTGAGTTTTTAGCAAATGCCAGCTTAAGAGGACCCTAATTAAGTTAATAACAATGTACCTACCTATATAGTTTAAGTTTAAAAAATTTGGCTCTCAAAATAAATTTCAATCATTGTACTGTTGATATTTGGCTCTGAGGACTAATGAGTTTGCCAATCACTGACTAAGATAAACAGCATTAAATATAAAGCTTTCAGTTAATGCCTGATATTTTTTTCTTTAGGAGTAAGTCCTGCAAGAGGTATTTTTGGGTTAAAGAATAAA